AAGAATAATAATAATAATAATAATAATAGAAGATTGTAACATAAAAAGATGGTAAACAATAATTAATATTATTAAATTTATTATTAGTAATTAAATATAGAGAGAGATATATAAATGATAAAGTTTGTAATGGTTTCTGGAGGAAAATCGAAATGAGATTTTATTAAATGCTATTAGCCAGCAATCTATATATATATATAATTACTAGCTGATGCATTTAATAAAACATTTAAAAAATCTATTTTTATTTCCCTCCAAAAGGAGTTACATTTTTTTAATTAATTACTCACTAATATGCTAAAATCGTTATACCTTAATATATATATTTTTATTATTCACTTTTTAAATCAATTACTAAATTAATTCTAAATTTGGTAGCAAAATATTCAAATGTGTAACGGCTAATGTTGGAACTTAACGTTGATTGACACATTTAGAGCTGTAACCGCTATATTTGGTTGCATTGTTGGAAGAAAAATATGATTGACACATATTTTTTTCTCTAAAAATCAGAAACACCAATAATCTATTTTGTATTTATGTTAATTTTCTTAATATATGCCACAAATATATAAATTATTTTATTCATGTTACTAATGTAAACGTTGCATGGTTAAAATAAAATTTAAATCTTAATTAATTTTGAATGATAAAAATAACTTAAGAAAAAAGTAATAATTTTTTTATATGATAGAAATACATGTCTAATTAATAAATATAAATAAAAACGTGTTTTATATTTATGCAAATGCACATGATCAAATACTAGTTATATATATATATATGTATATATATATATAGATATAGATTTGCTTGTTATTAAATTGAGTTTATGATGTTGCCATTTAATCATAATGATGCAAAACTGATGTGATAAAATTAAATAACTTTTTTATTATTATCAATGTTTAATTATTACTTAGCAAATTAAGGATTAACAAAGTAATTGTTTTTACAAATGGTCAACTAACTTCTCTATTTTATTAGGGCTTATTTGATTTGTTTGGTATTATAATCACAAATGATGCAAGAATTTGCACTTCAATCAAGTCTACGCTGTATGTGTGTTTGCCTCAATTTACATATTTTGAACTGCTCATCACTTTCAATCACTTCTATTCTACTTCTACACCAAATTAATTTTAATCATTAATTTTTATATATTATTTTAATACAAACTCCAAATCACACTCAAACCTAACCCAATTAACTTTTTCAAAATTAACTTTAGTGAATAAATAAATCCAATCAAAAAACCAAAATAAATTATATCCAGTCACCCACTAAAAGGTCGTGCCATGAGACCAAATTATATACCCTATGAGATTTCGTTTATTCAAATCACTAGTATCTCATCTTGTGCACATGCACAATATATATAAAGTATTATAAGTTATATGCATATATAGAATATTAAAATTATAAGTTATATAGCGGTATTATTTTATAATAGTAAAATAAACAATACAAAACTATTTAATTACATATTAATCACTATACTGATTGGATAAAATGTAATGAGTAATGTAATTTTTTTTATTTCGAGGGATCATAACCAATTAATTAGCTGAAAATATATTAAATTTATTATTATAACATTTGCTTATAGGATGTTAAGGGGGTTTCACTATACCATTAAAATCAATTAGTTTACTTAAAAATTTAATATTGATAGAATAACTAAATTAAAAAATTACAATATATGTTTTTATGTTATATAAATTTCATGTACCATTTAGTGTAATATATAATTAGTTAGTTTTCATAATAATTATTATATGACAGAGTAATTAAAAAAATATATAATTATTACTCACCCAATATAAATTGTAATGAATTTTGCATTGTTCTGAAAACCGGATCGGACCGGCCGGTCCAACCGGTTGGACCGGGAACCGGCCTTCATTCCGGTCCGGTTTGGACCATCAAACCGCCCAGCGTTTGAACCGGTCAAAAACCGTTCGAACCGGTCCAAAACCGGTTGAACTGGTGAACCGGGACCGGTTCGAATGGTTCAACGGTTCAAAATTTTGAATTTTGAATTGGTTGATTGTGAAGTGATTTAAATAACACATCTTTTTTACTTGTGTTTCCAATGTGGGATATGTTCCTTTGATAAAATTATTGGGCAATATTGGACCTTACAAACAATATTGTACTCATTAAAAAAAAAAAAAGAACTATTTTTTAAATTGAACTATCAATTGGGCTATATCTATTCCCAAATTATAAAAAAAGAAATAAACAAATTATTGTTGTTTCTTATGTACATTATTTTTTTTAAGCAATAATAAAAAAATTGAAATGTGATTTAAAATGAAAATAGGATCGATTCTATTCTTTCTATTTTGTAACTTAAATATAGATTAAAATTTTAAATATAAAACATAAAATAAAATAAAAAATATAAACATTAATCATCATTGTCGATTGTATCTAATATTGAGTTATTATTTAGAGAAATGTCATACACTATAAAATTAATAGAATTAACAATAAAAAATATATATAATTATATATTATACATATAAAATAAATAAAAAATTATATATTAATTAAACCGGTTCAACCGGTTCAACCACTGGTTCGACCACTGAACCATTGAACCAGTAGCTTCACTGGTTCGATGACCGGTCCGGTTTTCAGAACAATGGAATTTTGTCATAATTACCCTAGAAAAAGAGCAGGAAATGAAAATTTCATTAAATTCTTTGCCTCTCTTTATATATGTAAATTTTGTCAATTAAAAGTTAATGTAACTTAAGACGATAATGTTTATTTTTTTCTTTAGATACATTTGTTAAATTTTTTTACTGATATTTAAATAATTCGTGTTAACACATAAGGGCCATTTGGTAATAAATAAATAAATACCCAATTAGCATATGATTAGGACTTTCATCGATTATGATGTACCCAAGATTTGTTGATCTAGATTAAGCAATAAACAACGATGACGTGGACGACAAACCTGTATCAGCGATATCCCAAGTATCCATGCGCCAAGTACACAACGGCCAAAGACACCAGCCTCCGAGCCGATCTCTCTCTTTGTGCCGATATCACTCCCAATTGTACGGGGAGAAGACTAATGGGACCACCTCACCACGTCGGACAAAGACAAAATTTCCCTTCATGCTGATCTCGCTTAAATCATAGTGTGAAAATGATTGTCGGTCAAAACCGATTCCCACTGCCCAAAGAGATAGGAATAGCCGGGCCAATTACGGGCCCAACATATGAGGGCGGGCCGGGTTAGGGCCGTAAATCGCCCTGGCATTTGGCCACCTCTATGTAGACTCTTGTACAAAACAGGCACGCAAGTGATCCAAATATATATATATATATATATATATATATATCACATTAAATGCGAACCAAGTCCTAGCGTGAGAACCGCTATTTTTAATTGTATGTAGTGCTATGATTGATTGTATTTAGTGCTATTTTTAATCAGGATGTATTTTATTAAAAATAGCAACTTAGCATTTGTAAAAATGATAGCACCATGTAAAATTAAAAATAGCATTATATACCATTAAAAATAGCATCAAATACCTATATATATATATATATATAATTACTAGCTAATAGGTAATAGCATTTAAGAAAACTTATTTAATAAAACCTCTAAAATTTTTCCTCCATTTTCGGTTACAAAATTTATCATTAATGTTTTTTACTTCTCACATTAATACATCCTATTGAGTGTAATCATGTATTTTTCTATTATATTATATAATAGTTAATGCTAATACCAATTAATAATAATTCACAATAAATATAAATTACATAATTATAAATAATTGTTTCAAGTTATTTATTTTAACATCAATATTATCTTTTTTTTGTATCTCATGAAAAAATTTCTTTAAAAATAATTAATAAATTATTTTTTTAGCATAATCAAACAACTTTAAAATCTTATAAACAATTGTTTTTGTAATAATAATAATAATAATAATAATAACAATAATCAAACTGCTATTATCTAATAATAATAAACAATTATAATTTATTTTTTCTAATGATTAAATTTGTAAAAATATAATATGTTCATTATTTAAAATATTAATAATAAATTCTCAAATATTACTTATAATATTTTATATACATCTGTGCATGTGCACATAATATTTACTAGTCTTCAAATAAAAAGTCCCATAAGCCCACCAATTCGTCAACAAACTTATCGTTTCGTTTCTTCTTCTCTTCTTATTTTTCTCGTTTTAATCGCATTAAAACACTAACAACACCTAAATTAGCACACTATGGCTCCGATAGTCAAATTATGGAAAACAAACATCTACATGACAATATTGATGTCACGGACTCACGTTTTGTATTAGGCCACTTAAAAAACTACAAATGCCCAACCAACCTACCTATGCAGATATAATAAATTAATAATATCTGTTTGGAATTTGGATTGTAACATTTGGTACTTATCATAGTTTATTAGTGTCAATTCTAGGCGATCTTCGGATCTATTCTTATAATTTTTTTCAATTGTTAGTTGTACCATTCAATTAAGGGTTGTATCTTGGCACATTTGTGCATTTTTTTACCTATAACATTCTCTATCATGTATCTTTGCACATTTTTACGTTTTTTATTTATAAAATTTTCTATTGTTCTGAAAAAAATAAATAATAATTTATCAATCCTTGAAATTTAGGTAAAATAAAGAAACAAAAATTTCACCTCATTGCAAACAACTTTACTACTTCGTACCATAATTTTGACATCTAATATGAAATATTAGAAGTTTATTTATTTAGTTTGAAAATGGATTTGGTTGGTGAGTGGGAATTTCACCAAGTCTCCATTTGGGGGCTGTGAAAGCAAAGCAAATGGGGGAAAAGAAATTTCAGAAAACCATGGCGATTTTTATAATTTCACTCAAAATTTCCTCTGCCACCGGCTATATATAGTCACTTTCCTCTGCAACTAGACTCAACCAACCATCTTCCCAAAGTCTCTCTCTCTCTCTCTCTCTATCTCTCTCTCTCTCTCTCTCTCTGAGTGTGTGTGTGCGTGTGTGTTTTCTTGCTTGGACGCGCCTCGTGCCTTGGCGTTTTTTCTTGCTTTACTCGCACAAGAAGGAAAATTTAACAAAACAAGGGCGGCCCAGTTTGTGATTTCGTTTCAAAGAGCAACCTTTTTGCGTAATTGATCTCTTTGTTAAGATGGCCAAGAATGTGGGAATACTTGCCATGGAAATCTACTTTCCTCCCACTTGCATCCAGCAGGTAAAAAGCGCCCTTTTGGATTTATTATTCATTTTCTTCTAATTGTTTTAGGACTTGAGTTTAATGGAAGTTTCAGTGCATCATTAAGCCTTCACACATGTGTGGAGAGACGTAATTTTCTTGCTTCGAGAACTTTTCCTTGTTGCATTTTCCCCTATTGCTTTTCGTTTCTGGGGTTGTGTATGATTATGTGAGAATGAGTGATGATGTTGGTGGCGAAAAAGATCCAGAACTTTTTCTTTTTACTTGATTTTTAATTTTCATGATGTGGACCCACCTGATGATTTGAATGTCTGATCCTGTTATCTGCTTTTAGTTTGCATCGCCTTTTGATTAGAAACTTTTTTCTTCAGATTCATTGTTCACTGTTTTTCTTCATCTTCCATCTCCGTGGCTGAATTTTTTGATTTTATAGAAGGGAGGAAAAGATCCTGGGAACCCTTTACTGTGATTTTACTATTTTGCTTGATCAGAGGAGCGTGTGAAAGTCAAGAGCAATGAAAATCATTCACATCAATTATTTGCTTGTTAGATTTGTATTTTGATGATAAGATTTTGATATGTGTGTTGTAGGAAGTGCTGGAGGCTCATGATGGAGCTAGCAAAGGAAAGTACACAATCGGGCTCGGCCAAGATTGCATGGCGTTCTGTACCGAGGTGGAAGATGTAATTTCTATGAGGTATTCATTTTGTATAAGTATGGTGTAAACATTATTTGAAGGATTATTTGGGGGGACTTGGCATAGTTATGGATTTTGTATTGAGTATTTCTAAAACTCTTTTCAGTTTTATGGTTTTGAATGGATATGGTATTGGCTCTCTGTGAAGCTAGAAAAAGAAATTGAAATATCTCCTTTATCATGACCATTTTGATTTTGTTTTCTTGAATTGGAAGTGAATCTACCTGCTGTGTGCTTAACTTATTAATATGTCAAAGTTCTTATATTTTGTGTCTTCATTAGTTACTCACAGTCACAAGTAGAGTACTTGTACTGTTGTACATGTAATTGTAAAAACTGATATTTGACGTTTGTAATGTGATCATACTTATGTCAGTCAATGAAAAGAAAAGAAAAAAAAAAGACAATGAGAAGGCGGTGAAATTAGCAAATCATTTTTATTGCTATAAGAAAGGTCCCCAACGACATGCTGTGTGAATTTGTATACCAAAGCTTCATTCAACTGGCTAATAATGTTGAAAATTATCCTTTCCGATCAATTTGCTAATCCTTTGGTTTTCAGTATGACAGCTGTCACATCTCTCCTACAAAAGTACGGGGTCGATCCTAAGCAGATAGGGCGCCTTGAAGTTGGCAGCGAGACTGTGCTCGATAAAAGCAAATCCATTAAAACTTTTTTGATGCCAATCTTTGAGGTAGTAGGTTATTCCTGTCTTTAGAAGATTTTATTATACATATTTTAGTTGTCTCTAGTTCTACCTTGAAGCATGGTTACATGAGCTTATACCAGCAACTTAGATCATAATACTGTTGATTCAAAAGAAAATTTACCATAGCTAAAATCACATCGTGCTTACACTATAGCATATATACTGACGATTCTTTGTTTCTTTTTCTCTGAATAAAACAGAAATGTGGAAATACTGACATTGAAGGTGTCGACTCAACAAACGCATGCTATGGGGGCACTGCTGCTCTATTTAACTGTGTAAATTGGGTAGAAAGCAGCTCTTGGGATGGACGTTATGGGCTCGTTATCTGTACGGACAGTGCTGTACGGTTCCCATTTTCCTATTCCTTTCGATATTTCATAATAGTTTCAAAACGTTAGGAAAAAAAGAAAAAAAGAAGAAGGGAAAAAAATATGTAGCTGATAAAAAATAAGCTTCATTTGATAGGTGTATGCTGAGGGGCCTGCTAGGCCAACTGGTGGAGCTGCTGCTATTGCCATGCTAATTGGGCCAAATGCTCCTATTGCTTTCGAGAGCAAGCTTAGGGCTAGCCATATGGCTCATGCCTATGACTTTTACAAGCCTGACCTTGCCAGTGAATATCCAGTAATTCTCTGCTCTGTTAATCATAGTCTGTTAACTATGGTTTTTTACCCAAGTTTTTTATCTTTTCATGAGGAGGAATCTTTTGATTGGTGTTTTAGAACAGAATTGTGAGCATNTTTTCTCACACGGTTGAGATATTTTTGTAGGTTGTTGATGGAAAGCTTTCTCAGACTTGTTACCTCATGGCACTTGATTCTTGTTACAATAACTTATGTGAGAAGTAAGCTACTGCAGAAAAGTTACAGCCTGGATTTTTAGGTCTCTCGAATTTCTCTTTTTAGGTACTTATTGGTAATGCTTACAGGTATGTAAAGCTTGAGGGCAAGAAATTCTCAGTTGATGATGCTGAGTACTTTGTATTTCATTCTCCATACAACAAGGTAATTCAGAGTAAAACATGGCATAATACAAAAATGTATCAATTCATTAACACATGAATATATTGAGGTTTTTAACAATATATTACTTCAAACCCTGCAGCTTGTACAGAAGAGCTTTGCGAGATTGTTATTCAATGACTTTTTAAAGAATGCCAGGTGAATCATGTGATATATATATTTGTGTTTTCACTATAGAATAGAGTTAATACTGTTTTCTGCGTGGTTTAATGCTTTTCTCTGTGATTAATTTCAATAATCAGCTCTATTGACGAGGCTGCCAAAGAGAAGCTGACTCCGTTTTCATCATTAACCAATGACGAAAGCTACCAAAATCGCGATCTTGAGAAGGTCTGATCGTAATTTCCCTTTTCTTTTTTCTTCCAAAATTATATCCAATTTCCCTATTAATTTGCTAAGTTTTTTTGTGCATCAACAGGCATCTCAACAAGTCGCAAAGCCTTTTTACAATGCTAAGGTGCAGCCATCGACACTCATCCCGAAACAAGTGGGAAATATGTACACAGCATCACTCTATGCAGCTTTTGCATCACTACTCCACAATAAAAACAGCACTTTGGTATATATATATATTTTAAAATCTTGTTTGTTAGGCTCTTTTTGTTGCTTTAGTTATTATGAATTAAAGTTAAATTACTCATTTTTTTTTTTGCCCTTTTTTTTTATTTGTTCAGGCTGGGCAGAGGGTGATATTGTTTTCATACGGCAGTGGTCTTTCGGCCACCATGTTTTCTCTTCGTCTTAACGAGGGGCAGCATCCTTTTAGCCTCTCCAACATTGCAACTGTCATGAATGTTTCAGACAAGTTGAAGTCGAGGCATGAGGTATGCTAGCTAGAAGCTACAATTTTTTTTTTTAAAATTATTTTTAGTATCTTCTAATAAAAACTTCAAAAGAGTTTCAAGTTTTAATTTTGTTGCATTCACTATTCCCTTTTACTTGTTTGTGACATTGCTTGGTAATTTTAGTACTTTTAAAACTTAGTGATTTGGATAGAATGACTTTTAAGTTTTAACAAACATTGTACAGTTTCCACCGGAAAAATTCGTCGAGATCATGAAGCTAATGGAGCACAGATATGGTAACAAGGGCTTTGTAACGAGCAAAGATTGCAGCCTTCTCGCAGCAGACACTTATTACCTCACTGAAGTAGATTCTAAGTACCGAAGATTCTACGCCAAGAAGGCTGCTGAGAATGGAATCGTTGCCAATGGCCACTGAAAGATGGTAATAGTGATGCCCTCGTGAAGTTCTCCTACTCATAGTCGTTTTAGCGCCTTGAGAAAATAATTGCATTTTGATTGTTTGATAAAAGCGTCGACTTTGTTCAAAAGGTTATGTGTCGTCTTATTTTTTATTTTTATTTTTTTGTATTTTACATATTAATGAAATGGTTGGGGAACTTAGTGACACCCTACATGCTGTGTTCCTACTTTCTAATTTTTTTTTTTAATGAATTTTCTTCTTAAAGTATGTAACAAGTTTGTTTAATGTAAAGATGGATAAAGGCTCCCCAATCTCTCTACCTCCAATATAACGGTAGGTATCTGCTATAGACTGACCTTAACCATAAGAATGACACTCGATAAAAATATGTTACTCTATTAGATTGTCATATTTTAAAAAATATTATAAACAAAAGTATGATATTTGACAATATAATTATTCATTTTTGTTCACAGTGTACGACGGGTCTGCTTGTCTAACAGTTAGACCGTCTTACAGAGAATTTGTGCCAATATAGTTATGTGATTACTCGAATGGTTAGAAATTTGTTTGGTTTGATTCACAAACAATTTAACATAGAGTTTGATATAGCCATATTTGGATAGATCGATTATAACGACTCACCCGGATATCAAGACGAGTCACCCACATGTCGATTGGAATAAGACATAGCGACCTAAGTTGAGTTGACATACGGGATCTCGTCTCAGGACTTGGCACTAGTGAAGGATGAATAGATCGACAATAGCCTCCCTCACCCGTGGGAGCACCTCGAAGTCGACTTCAGCCATTCCGTAACTCGAGGTCGACTCTCTATGTGTGTCTTTTGTAGTGGTTTGTGTGGTTTTTCTGTTTGGTTGTTTTTTTTTTTGTTTTTTGTTTTTTTTTTTGTAACTAAAATTAATTAAATAAAAATACATAGTACATTTATTTTGTATTTATATTTAGTCCATTTAGGGCGGTACTGTATTCAATTTAGAGACTTTTTAAAATTGATGGCTTATGTGAACTTTAGGTAACTTTTTAATAATTTTTGTGAATTTGTGAGATGGTTATGAAAACTTTTTAAGACTTTAATATGATTTTTTTGTAAGATTTTTATATAATTCTTAATACAATTATTAATTTTGTGTTACACGTTCATAGAAAATAATGTGCATAATAACTAATATCTATAAAGTCAAGTTAGTAATTAAAATATAATATTATTTTAAAATGTATTAGGATATTAAGCACTATCAATGGAGCAAGAATTACGACAAGAGAAAAAATAATATTACAAAAAACGAACTCGATAAGAAAAAGAAAAGCATGAAAAACACTCAACAGTCGAACCAAAAGAGTGGTATAGTTATCTCATCAGCATTTTAGGAAAGGTAGAAAAAAAAAAAGAACAAAAATAAAATGAACTATACATCAAATATTTCCCACATCATTCCACATGTTCGTTGCCAAACTAAATCTCTATGCATTTGCGGATTCCAAACAGTTTGTGTGTCTTTTTTAGCCGGTTGTAATTATGTGTTTTAATTAATGAATCTGTCATTTTGAAAAAAAAAATGTTATCATTTTTTTTTACTTATAATTATTTTTAGTTTTAGATTTATATTTAACGGTATAATATATTTTCCTTCCATTAGTTCAACAAGAAAATGGTGCATTTTATGATAAACAACAATGAATGTATTGAATAATGAAATATCATATTTAGTACTATTAATTAACCAAACTCTACGATAAGAAATTAAACAAAAATTCATTGGGTTGAAAATTTAAAATAAAATTAATATTTTCATGTGAAATTTTAAATGCTAAAGAAATGTCTTTGATCTTGTTATCTATTATTATCATCATAATATAGTTTTCTAATATCTCTCTTTTGAGTCACACTCTTTGAATAATTACTCATATTTGATATAACAATCATTTGTAATGATCATTCTTTAATGTTGGTTAGAAGCTAACCAACTATAATTCAACATTCGTTCTATATTATTTTGATTATGTGGTTCGAAATTCAATTATATTGGCAAGTATATATAGAATTTCATAATACTTAGATATGTATTTTCTCTCTGGATATAATGACATAAGATATAAATAAATATTTTAAAATAGTTTTAAAGTCGTAATTATTTTGAAAATGAAATTTACATTAAAAAGATTCGGATTAATAACATCCTTGATAGAATAAAGGTACCCATCTAGCTATCATATATTTTGTCAAACATTGGTTGATTGAAGGTACTCATCTATATATATTGTCTAACATAAATTATTGTTGCATCTCCTAACATTGTCATGCATGCATTATCATTTTCGTTCACGGATTTTCAATACTATCCTAAATGTGAAAAAATAAATAATTCCATTTTAAACGAGATATAAAATTATGGTTTTTTAATATTTTACTTTTTATCTTAATATTATTTTTCTATCTTCGTCAATATTTTTATATTGTTTATTTTTCCTACTGTTGAGAAATGATTTGAAACATATAATTTATGAGTGATTTTATAAATAAGATTGATTAATATTAACAAATTTAAACTAAATACAAGATTTATTTTTATTTAATTTGATTTTAATTGTAACTATTTTCTAATAAGTACACATATTTTGAAATTCAATTTGAAATCGAGTTTTAGTTATTTTATTTTTATTATTTCTTCTATTTTTATTTATTTTACAATTAAAGTAAATGGTAGATTAATTTATGTAACACATATTATCATAAAAAATATTTATACTATACATACTATTAACAGGTAAACTTAAATCATATTATGATGAATTATAAAATGATGATTCTTTCATATTTTATTTCTATCGTAATATTATTTTTATATCTTTGTAAATATTTTTATATAGTTTATTTTACCTACTTTTGAGAAGTGATTTGAAACACTTAATTTATGAATGATTTTATAAATAAGATTAGATAATGACAACAAATACAAAGTAAATGTACTATATATTTTTATTTAATAAATTTTAACTGTAACCATTTTCTAATAAATATTTTGAAATTTAAGATTTAAAATCAAGTTTTAGAAATTTAATTTTAATTTAGAATTAGTTAATTACTCTGTTTTTATCTATATTACAGTTAAAGTAAATGGTAGATTAATTTATGTAACACATATTATCATAAAAAAATATTTATACTGTAAACTAAAATCATATTATGATGAATTATAAAATGATGATTCTTTCATATTATTATTTTTATATGTTTTTCAATATTTTATATAATTAATTTTTACTACTTTTGAGAAGTGATTTGAAACATTTAATTTACTTTCTCTATTTATAAACACAAATATATGGTGATAATCCGTTGGGAGTCCATTCATTAGTAATCCGTTGGTAACCGTTGCTAAAATTCTGTTGTTAATATGTTGGAAATTATTAGTTGGTAATTGATCGCGCATCGCAACGCGGCAAAATTAGAATTTATATTTTTCCTTGACTAATCTCTACCAACTAGCAGTAATGACGAGTAAGGGTCGATCCCACGAGGAGTGTGAATCAAATTGTGAATTTTTTTGTATTAATTGATTATAAAAAGCAATAAAAGAGGGGGGTTTTGATATTTAATGACTAAACTAATTAAAACTCTAATGAAATAAATAAAATAAAAATAAAATTAAATAAATTAAGAGAAATTCTTGTTCACGGTTCCGTCTACACCCTCGACTGACTCTCGACTGACTCGTTTAATCAACTTTGGTATCAAATCTCGCTATGTTATGGAATTACTAGCCCTAGGTAATGACACAGTCTGCTACCCGAATTTTCTCTTATTTTTAATTTAACCGTGAGACGCTCTACAATTAAACCTGACTTCTTGTACAGTCCAGAAAAATGTTTTCAAGATTTAATACAATTAGCCGCTTTACGAATTACAAAAATAGGCTAGACTAAGTAGTGAACTCAACCGCGTTCGTTCACTTAAATAGGCCGTGTTATCCCTAGCAGTTACCGTCTTCCGGTTGTCTCTTATGAATTAAACACAACAACAATTACGGATTGAAGGTCTAATTCAACTGTAGATATGAAAAGCTAATCTGGGTGATCAACCTGATTAATTATTCAAAATAACACAAACAATTCCAAAAAGATATTGAAATTATCAACCACGAAAATCAATCAAACATCGTCAAATCGTAATGTTCAACTTCTTCGAAACTAGAAATAAAAACCTACTCTAACATAATAAATAAAAAGAAAAAAAATAAAAAAGAGAGATTAATTATCTCGCTCGTGTAAGGGTGCGGTCTCCCTCCGCTTGTTGATCGGGTGCCTCACGTATCTATCCGTTTTCTCTCCGCGTAATAATTCTTTTCTCCTGCTCTGCGTGACTTTTTCTCTGTTGGGGCGTTTTTCCTTTTCTTTGCGTGAATAATGCGTGCTGCTCAAGTCTTCAATTAAATAAATAATGGACGACCCCCTTTGGCTGCGTGAGTCTTTTTCAAATAAAATCTCCACTAATTCCTTCCCCAAAGCCCAATTAAACAATGAGTGGGCTCCAGAATTGATGCTTTCTCCTCCTACATGCATGGTTTCTCGATTTGTGGAGTCCAATACTCCAATTCAGCCCATACAATTAATTTTAACTAAATGTTACGCTCTTTTTGCACACATAGAAAATAGTCTGGTATGGAGCATGTCATACTGTCTGTTTTGATCTCCTTCGATGTCTGTCGTTCATAAAAATACTCAAATATCCTAAAAATAAACCATAAATATATCATAGTACTTAAATCCATCTAATAAATAAATAAGTTGAAAAACATGTAAGTGCGATAAAATTAAGCATATAAAAATACGCTAATAAATATATAAAATACACACTTTTTCCAACAAATCAGTAATCCTTTGAGAAACTAGTTGTTATTAACCCGTTGCTAAAATATTCGTTGGTGATCTGTTAGAAAAATATTCATTGGTAATCCGTTATAAAATTCGTAAATAATCTGTTGGCTTTCTGTTAATAATTTGCCAATGGAACTATTTTGCAACTACATTATCTGTTGAGAATATCTTGATAATGTTATGGAGCATTTTCATTGCAAATTCGATGGTAAGCCATTGGGAAATTTCCCAACGGATTATAGTTTTCGTCCGTCATAATTAGTGTTAGAATATCACTTGTGAGTTGTCCCACATCGTTCATATATGAAAAATAGACCCAACTAATAAGACTAATGGGCTACTCCTCCTTCCACCAATTGGTTTTGGGATGGAACCTCATTTGGGCTTCATATGGGCTTTTCCCTTCTTTCA